ACGGGGATATACATGCTAGGCTCGATGAGCACAAATGTCGCGCTCCGCGCACGCTTTCAGTGTCGAGTGACCTCGTTGAGGATGTGGAGGCGGTCGACTACGAGTCTGACACTCCTTATCCCGCATGGGATAACGTGGAAGGCGAGCTGCGCCAGCAGCGTAATACGAGCCCTGCTCGCGCCTTGCGGACCCAGTGTACGTTCCCTGACTTCTCGTCAACCGAGGAACGTGGTGTGATCACCAATAACCTCTACGGGGCTCAGAGCCGGCTGCTTGAAGCTGCCAATAGGGCGGCTCTAAAGCGCGCCCATACACGGCTGGTCATTGACCCTCGTGTGGAATATGGCTTCCGCTTTGCGGACCCGCTGTGGAAGCGAAGGATGCTGTAATTTGATCGTTACGCATCCACATCATCGAGCCCCCGGTCAGATCGGAAGATGAAGTTGCCAGACGGAAGGCTCTTCGAGCTCGTTTCATGGTTTTACAAGAATTTTCGTTGGAAGTTTATCGTACTCGTCTGAGTGCTCAACGCGGTGGCTCTCGTGTACCCGCAATGCAGACAATACCTGTAGCGCTTTCGCCAAGGGCGAGCGCTACAGATGACGAAGCGCTCTTTGAGCGATGGGTTTAACGGCACCGGAAATTTTTCTCACTGTATAACGTTCAGTCGAGCCACAAGGAAGTGGACGTGCGTGTTGAGCGACACCTCTGCGACGTACGCCCTGCGACGTATGGGTTAACCTTCAATGCTCCCGCGAGCTCTGTGTCTTCGACCCCAAGAGCCCAGGGCCATTGCATGAGCTCAGCTCATAGCCCGTCTACTTCCCTGCTATTGCCGGGAAGCGCGGGGCGTCTGATGACGCGGGACGCCCTGATCTTTCCGATCAAAAGCGTCCACGGTGACTGGGCAGTCTTACCGGAGTGGCGCCTCAAACTCCCACGAGCTTTCGAAGTCGGGATATCCCCGCCATTTCACCAGATATTGGGTTTGACCCTGGTGACGACGTCGTTAAACAAGACGTTCCACGTGATAGTGGACGTCACTGTTCTATCGAGAAGAGTCGGTGGTGGGCGGTGACGACCGGATCGACCGCCGTCCGGTGACTCGTGATGTTCTTCGAGCCCATGAGGACGAGGTCCTCCGTAATCGGAGCTCCGCTGAACGTCATGCTGAAGTAGCATATCACAATGCGGACGCTTTTGACGCTTTGAAGCACGTCGTGCCTCGGCTGCCTCGCGTTGAAGAATACCGCTATCTGTCGGAGCGACTCCTAGCCGGGGAGCAGGTGAATGCATCGCTGCAGGCAACAGCGGAGCGCTTGGCTCCATTGGAAATGGAGGTTGTTGCACTCCGTTCTCGTGGGATCTGCTCCGGCGCCAAAACTTCCGCGTTCACTTGCGCCGGGTCCCGGTACGGCTTGAGCAAGCCCACGTAAAACACCGGGTGGGTGCGCATCCGTTTGGGAAGGTTTAGCGTATACGCTAGACCCCGCTTGGTCACAACCTTAAACGGTCCAATAGACCGTGGACGAAGCTTTGTCCGGAGGATAACAGAGGCTGCATGTGTAGGCAGGTTTTTAAAAATTAATAAAACCAAGTCCTCGACCTTAAAGCTCATTTCTTTGCCTCTTCCTTTTCATCTGCATATTCTTCTTGCAGGTCTTGGCTTTCAGCCATCGTATCGCAACCGTGTCGTAGGACACTCTGTCTGGTAGACACGAAGTCATTGACTTCTTTACGGATGGTCAGGGGACTTACATCAGCTAGCCGTTCGGCTTTTCCTCCCCAACCAAGCCCTGAGTCATGGGATGGCGGCGTCAGCGGTACGCGAGTGAACCAGCCCGTTCACGTAGAACGGCGTGGAGCCGGTAGACGAATGCACTACATTGTTCAGTGCAAACTCAACGATTGGCAACATGGCGCTCTGGCGCCTCGGCGCATCAGCGCAGATGCTGCGAAGAACGTCTTTGATGACGCCATTTACCCTTTCGGTTTGACCATCGGTCTGCGGAAGATCCGCTGTCGACATATCCAACTTGGTGCCTGGCACCTTGAAAATAATCTATCAAAATTTTTCCGTGGAACGGGGGTCTCTATCAGAGACAATCGACCCTGGGGGTTCCGTATT